ACGGTAGCAAACAGTAGTCTTTGCATGACAAGACTTAGCGCCATGTTCATATCTTTGGCATTTGTAACATCTGAGTAGATTAGGTATGTATACGTCTACTGCAATGTGGAAATAGCCAGCTTCATTAGACGTTGGAATGGCTGGACAGTTAAATGTAAACATGTACGTATATGATTTTATTATATTGTTTTCTTGCTTTTTGGTGACACGCTTTACAGCTGTAACACCATGACTTCTCAGTTCAGCTACAATTTCCCCCTCCACTCATGAGCGAAAGACACTTCGCCCGATCTTTAACAATTCCTCTACTTGAGTTCCGTGTTCCGTGCACCAAGACAACAACCTGAGTATTAACAAACTGCTTAAGACCAAGCAGATTGACAAATTGTTGCCTCCGTGCACATTTAAATAACAGTGAACCATTTCGGAGGCAGGTGGTATTTTTTACTTTTTACGCAGGCACCTTCAATACCCTTGGAGATAGCACAAGGGTTGAGTTTCAATGGAATACCGTCAGCAGAAGCAACAACGATAAACCTGGGCCAAGAATCAGATCTCACTGGTGATATTTCATCATCAGAGTCAACATGTCGACGTTTGTTTGGTTTTGAAGAACCGGATTGATTGTGGAGAGATGATAGGATAAATATATTCAGCATCTCTGCTCCCCACCGCCATCGAGTGTCAACAAGGACGACGTTACAGCGGAAGCTAGGCTGTAACACCAGGGCTACAGAGTTGCCATACTCCAGTAAATAAAGACATGAATAGCTATGATATCCAAAAGAACATGTGGCAGGCTGGTTCGGCCCATGTCACATTTTTCAAGAACCATAGAATTCAGAGGTCAATATCACCAGATTGGCCCATGAGCCACCACCTTCTGGCACTTATTATACTGATAACAAGATAAGCACAATATTCAGTGTAAACGTACAATATAAGCAAGATAATGTCAGCATGAACATTTCCATACTCAGGGCCTGAGCCACCGCCTTCTGGCATAGGACTCTAGGCACTTATTATACTGATAATAGAATAAGCACAATATTCAGTGTCGACGTACAATATAAGCAAAATAATGTCAACAAGAACACTTCCATGCTCAGGGCCTGGCTGACCAGCCGATTGATAGAATCGGGCCAATTCTACCACCCATCTTGGTGAAGTAAGGGGTGAAGTGCTGTGTTGGGCAAAGGAACGCTATTCCTGGAACCACTGCCCTCAACCACCAGACCATCGCCCTCCACCGACACAGGGTGCGCGCGCAACTCACGGCTAACAGGTTGCCCAATTCGATCGCATTTTATGACCAGCAATGGGGTGCTGTGGACACATTCTACCCGGATCCATGGGGCTTAATTTTAGATAAGGATAAAGATCTTTATCTTTACTGGTATTCATGAGTAGTGTATCTTAAGTGGTCTCACATAAAGTATACAATTTCGATTGAATCGAATTATTCCAGTAAAACAACCCCAGTGTGATCGGAACTTATGAAGCTGACCAAAATCCAGAAATGATTTATTAATGGCGGTTGCACCACTGGATTGGACTGAAGGTTAAATATCGTGTTTCTATATGTGTATTCTACTGATTGTTCACTCGAATAGAGCTTGCATAGGAAGAGATGTTTAAAGTCAGCCATTTAAGACGATTTGTTACTTTTGAATGCATATATATTTGACATTTCATTGGTACGAATTTGCAGCAAACGGACCATAGTTGCTCTTTTTGAGCAAATGTCCAACAATATCACGGTTAGCTACACCAACCATGATAATATCCTTTGTACCCATGGTGAGACATGAACAGTGGCCTTCGACATAACGAGTGAACTCTATAGCCTTTGGAACCACTACGATGCTCCCAACCTATTCGAATTGAAGGCAATTATTGAGCAATACTATAAATCCTATCAGTTAGAGTTTGGAGTAAGTGTGTTCCAAATGAAAACTATCATTTCGACAATTGTTTTGAAAGTACGCGATTTGCGAATCTGCCTACTTGCGCGCGCGTGCGTGTGTGTGGTGTGTTCGGGAAAGGACGTGTTGGCAAGGAAGAAGCACCAAGTATGCTCTTCTTGCTGATATGTCCCATTGTGCACATGAACTGGAAACATGGGAGAACCGGCCGTCCAGGCGTGACGTCAAGTCAGCAAGACAACCACATTCGGCTGACCCATATACGGATTCGTTTCCAGACTACTAGTTTGACTGCTTGTACCATTCCTGGCTTACGTCCAATCAGTTCCACCCTGTACGGAACCCACTGAGGAAACACAACATCCGGCCCCGACGACGTGCAGTACGTCCAGTTTTGCTCCAACGTCAGCAACATGAACGTCTCGCCTACTGCGGACAACATTTACCGTACAGAAGACGGGTTTGGGACGGTGATTTTATCTGGACAGTTCAGATGGCAGGGAAAGGGTGTACAGGCAGCGAGGTGAACGGTATGCTGACGTGTGCGTTGTTCAACTTTGACAGTTTGGTGGCGAGACCGTTATGGCATGGGGAGACATCACACCTCATGGTCAGGCACTACTTGTCATTGTCAATGTCACTGTGACAGGTCTGCGATACAGGGATGAGATCGTTGAGTCTCATGTGCAGGACAGAGATTCAGTTGTTGGCGATCTGTAGCCCGTGACTTATATTGTATTGTCTTCTTTAATTGGACTGTTTTAGCTTCGTTCGCTAGTGTTATATTATATCTGTGATTATCTAGTATTTTTTACTGTCCATCGTCGACAGGTTTTTAATCTTCAAAATATTTTCACTTTTATTGTATAAATTGTTTTCGTCACGAGATGGCTGATATATTGCCGATGTGACGTTAAATATTAACTCACTCACTCACTCAAGGACAGAGACGTAACTTCGTGTTGTGACAGATTTCCCGAGACAGCAGAATATTCCGGTACTCCCCTGGCCAACTGCTTTTCCGGACCTGTCCCCCCATCGAGTACGTTTGGTATGAAATGGAGCAACGTTTACGTCAAGCCCAGAATCAGCCATTGACGTTAGCTGAATTTGGACAAGCACTGGGTCAGACAATGAACAACATTCCCTAAGCTTTCTTCAATCGCTTTGCAGTGGTTTGAATGTTTGGAGTGCTCATGACACCGCATCTCTTCAAGGGCGTATCACGATGCCTAGTGTCATATCATACCTATTTCGGTATTACTCTGTCAACAGTTAAACAGTGATTAAGGAGCAATGAGTAATTTTTTATATAATTAATTATTCTGTTTCAACATAGATTCTGGTGTCGTTGATAGATTCAAAACGTCGTATATACACAATAAAGAAGTCCATAAAAATTGTCCTCATTCTTCATCTCCCCAACTTCTAGAATGCCGACCCGTGAAAATCCGGGGTAGAATAGGTCTTCATCAACCCATTCTTGTCATAAAAGGTGACTATGCTTGTCGTAAAAGGCGACTAACGGGATCGGGTGGTCAGGCTCGCTGACTTGGTTGCCACATGTCATCGGTTCCCAATTGCGCAGATCGATGCTCATGCTGTTGATCACTGGATTGTCTGGTCCAGACTCGATTATTTACAGACCGCCGCCATATAGCTGGAATATTGCTGAGTGCGGCGTAAAACTAAACTCACTCACTCACTCTAGAATGCCATTCAAAGAAATGATTAAGGAAAACACCACAGATCATGTCATGCAAAAAGATGCATTTCAAACGGCATAACATCAAATAATGCACGGTTACTTTATTCCAGTAGTATAATTATCTGAATAACAAGACCAAGAACATTCCCAGCATTGCTTTGAGAACAATTTACATACTCGCTTTGTATATTCCGCTAAATAACTACTGCAGAAAGAGTATGCTCTTATGGACATTTCTTTTGACAGACTTTTATTGCAGAAAAGCGGGTTGACAATACATGTGCGACTGTCACTTGCGATGGTCTGTTCTACATACACTGCATAGCCCCTTGTTACAACAGTCTTTAAAACACAAACATGTACATGATCATTTGTTAAACAACTTTTCCCCTTCATCATGACAAATGTCTGAAATTATAGTGACGATTTGGTTTGAACAACTGACCGAATATAGCTTGTACAGGAACAGATGTTTGAAGCCAGCCATTTATGACGATTTGTAGCTTTCGGATGCATATTTATTTGCCATTTAATTGATACGATTTTGTAGTAAACGGTTTTTGTTGGTTGGATTTGTTGGTGTTTAACGCCGCATCAAATTAACCTAATCAAATTAATGAAAATATGTTTAGTTCATGGCAATGTATAGCATTCATATTATTTTGGATAAGCACATATTTGACATGCGCCACAACATTTGATGATAATTTTATAGACGATATGAGAGTTCATTTCATCAATATCGTTACAGGCAACAAAATGAAATAAAACGTGAAGAATTTTGACCGTATTAAGTCCTTTTATGCAAATGTCTGACGACAACAAAAACGTCCTTGTGTAGGAACCGACCAACTGATAGACAGACAAAACATTGTCCCAGAATATCATAAACTTGACGTTCATAAATGAATCATGATCCCAAACAAACACATCGTTGAAAGGTGTCTTTACAATATATTTATAATTAAGTCTGATCGTGTTTATTATAAATAGAAACCACCCTGACCCCTGACACACACGCACGCACGCACGCACGCACGCACGCACGCACGCACGCACACTAATCACGACCAAATCATTCACTGTATTTCGTAAACGCTTTTCCACCTTTCTGTACCTAAATGTTTCCTGGCTTCAGCACCAACGACACAAGACAACAACTCACATTCAGTTCTCAGTGACACTAATAAATGTAAATTGTCCTTGACGATTCGACAGAAACTGATCTAAATATGCCGCAGGGACAAGGCCAAAAGCCAAGGATACATATACACACTAACATGACCATAAACGTTTCGTATTGCGCTAAGCGCATAAAAGAACATCACGTGTTAGAAAGGATACTGAGCAATCCAAGCTGTGACGTGTACATCTCGTGCTACATGGAAACTATAAATATGATAATACCCTCAACTCACCATTAAGCACCGCTTCGAACATCAGAAGATGATGACTACTGGAAAAGCAATGGTAGTATTCTTGAATATCTTTTTAATGTTAATTCTCATTTAATCATTGCATTTTTAATAGAAATAGGTTAATTTGGTTTTGTAAATAGATAAATGTTTTATACTTAGTTTAAATTATGGTCATTATTGTCCTTCTGTAGGGGTAGGTAAATCCCAAACATTCAAAGCAAATTAAGTTTACCTGATTCTTTAAATATGGTACATTTTATTATGGATAAAACCTTGACTACAATCTCCAGCGTCTGAAGCGATGATGTAAATTCAGCTATGGTCCATGCACTCAGCAAAAAAAAGTAGTCCCCATGACCCATAATATGGTGATGTACCTTTAGTGGCTGGCGATCTACATCCTTTATTGTAATAATATTAAATGTACTATGTAATGTTTGTGTTAAATAGAATATTTTAATATTTGAAATGTCGAGTATGGGAGAATATATGTTCTGTAAATCTTTTGCTAAGTTGTGTACAATCGTTAGCGGCTGAAGTGATGATGAAAATCCGGATTTTTTTCCACACACGTGGCAAAAGTCCCCATGGTCCCTTGTATTGTGATCTTTCTTTAGTTGTTGATGACGTATGGCCCGCTTTTATATTATATTGTTTTGATGAAAATACACTATTAGAGATAAAGGCAAGTTATAAATTCGATTTCTGTGATTTGCTAATGTTTGTTACTGTCCTCATCACATATTCATCACATATTTAGAACTTGTTTAAATCACGATATGGTTGAAATACTGCCGATGTGACTTTAACTTTTAAATCACTCGTTAAAATTGTAAGTTTTTAGACATAGATTGTGATTTTTATATTTTACAGATTTGCGATCAATAATATGCTATATGTTTAATATACCTCATCTTGTCACTATATACGTACTAATATTTGTATAGCGCCAATATCCAGCTCAGCTGCTCAAAGACGCATTGTCAATCTCAACGGCGCATCGTATTTTCAATCTCAACGCCCTGGGGATCATACAACTCTTGCAGCCACTAGGCGCACCGAGTTAATATGGCTTTCCCATCCTTACATGGTACCCATTCAGAGCTTGGTGGACTGGGACACATAGTCACAGTACTTTGTCCAAGGTGATTGCACGTATTCATGTGTCCACCATCTGGTCACTTATCAACGGAGTCGTGAGTTCTTTTAAGTGCGCAGGGTTGTGTACTGTACACTAGGGGTTGTGACAACACTGAAAGAGTTGACTCTTCACGCAAAGATAACTCCAAGCTATTTACACCCGGTCACAGGTGGGGTCGATCCGGGCTCCATAAGCAAGCTGGATCACTAGCCTGGCGCCTTAGTCAGCATGCCCCGTGTATGGCTGAAAATTAAAACTATCACGGGTATTTACGCGCATGCTCATGGAAGAAGGGCTTTGGAGACATACACACGATAAACCTGATCTTCACGAAGGCTGTTGTGTTGGAAACCGACAAAATACTTTCTTTAAGAGGCATTTTAGAAGTTGTTTTCCTCCGAAAAAATACCTTTCCTTAAATTCCGAGAAAACACGGGAAAACTGAAAAGATATTCCTAAATACAAGAGGCATCAGTTCATGGACAGATTCTGTGCACGAAACCTGAACGTTGTGTCCCTACAGAGGCAGCAAAATCTCGTGCATGTGTAAAGGCAGTGAATGGTAGCGTTTTTATATATTTTATATTGAGTCTTGCAATATTTTTACTCTTTGGTAGAATAATCATTTCTGACAACAGAGCCCACCACCCCTGTTCCTCTCTTAACGATTTATATGTTCCCATCAGATCGGGAGGCTTGCCTTAAAAGTGAAACTGAGAGCTTTATATTGGCTGCGCAAGATCAGTCAAATCCCTTTTGCAATCTCTATAATGTCAGTCTTAAAGAAAACATTAACATGAAATGTCCATTATGCAATGATTTCACAGAGACTGTCAACGCCTTGTCACTGGGTGGCCGTACTTGGCACAAACAACATATCTTGCACGACATGCTGTCATGGCGCGTTGCTTCTATTACCGTCCTCGACATGCCTGTCGCTTTGATGCCGTGGTCCATCCATGGCGCGACCATGAACATGAATAGGGCGTCATGGGAAATGATGCTTTTAAACTTGTTTGATATAGGCCAATATACAGCCAAGATAAATTCCTGCTAACAATCCTGATTTTGTCCTTTTAGATAAAGCCAGTGAAATTATTTATACAACTGAATTTTCTATCCCTTTTGCCAGGAAAAGCATGGCATATTTGAGGACCTAGCTTTTTAAATTTCTCGCTTACATCCAAAGTACACTGTCGTCAGGCTCATTGTTCTCAGTGCCCTTGTTGGGTACATCTTGATCTCTTGGTCGGTTTTTAAACTGGATCACATCTCTTCTAACCAGTCTGACTCTGCAAGGACCACCCACATTCTCTTCTGGAAACTGTTCCTTGTCTCTAAAGACCATTACTTCACTGCTTGAATTTTCACGTGGACACAGGTTATGTTCCTCCTTGGTTCTGCAAAGGTCGAACAATAATTCCCTTCCTATCACGAGCTTGAATAACAATATATAGTATTCAAAGGGTGTATTACAAATCCAGTGTCATCCTTCTGCACTTCTAATGATAGTACTTTAGATGGTGTAGAAATGTGAGTTAATAATTGAAGTCCCATCGGCAGTACTTCAGCCACGTTGTGACTGACGATAAAAGTAGATTCCATTCTTATGATAGCATCTAAATGATGAAGAAATGTGAGTTAATATTTGAAGTCCCATCGGCAGTACTTCAGCCACGTTGTGACTGACGATAAAAGTAGATTCCATTCTTATGATAGCATCTAAATGATGTAGAAATGTGAGTTAATATTTGAAGTCCCATCGGCAGTATTTCAGCCACATTGTGACTGACGAGAAAGCTAGAAATCATAAATTAAGATTTAACACCGGTATGCAATAAATTGTTAGTAAAACTAATTAAATATAAATCACCTATATATCAATTGTGCGAATTGCATGTACCAGTTGGAACGTAAAAACATCACCTTGACTATCAGAGTTAAAATAGTTGAAATTAACAAAAAAATACTGCAACTAAGAAGACGGAGGATTCTAGTGATTCCAACATGACTAGCTAACCATCATCTTTATTCTTGTTTCCTCCTTCAATCATAAGTATGTCACACATATGATTTTGGACAGTGCCAAGGAAATTGTTAGTAGGTAAAAAGAGAGAAGATTATTTCAACTTCTTGCAAACAGTCTTCAGCAACCCATGTTTGCCACAAAAGTCGACTATGCTTGTCGGGATCTGGTGGTCAGGCTCGCTGACTTTGTTGACACATGTCATCGGTTCCCGATTGCGCAGAAAGATGCTCGTGCTGTTGATCACTGGATTGTCTGGTCTAGACTCGATTATTTACAGACCGCCGCCATATATTGCTGAGTGCGCCGTAAAAAAATAAACTCACTCACCCTTCCAAACAAGATGTGATTCAGTTTAATATCACCTTATATATCACTGCAAGTAAGGTGGTGACACACATCCATGCAGCCTGTTTCACAGTCCCTGAACCACATTATTTCCCCTTCCGCCCAGCGTTTTCTGCAATGCTAAAGTCTGGATTTTTGTCAAGGTTCTGGGGGCACCCGAAACGCAACTTCCTCGTAGTTGGCACTGAATATTGTGCTTATTCTGTTATCAGTATAATAAGTGCCAAGAGTCCTATGCCAGAAGGCGGTGGCTCATTTGCCAATCTGGTGATATTGACCCCTGAATTCTGTTTCTTGAGAAATGTGTCATGGGCCGAACCATCCTGCCACAAATTCTTTTGGATATCATAGCTATTCATGTCTTTATTTACTGGAGTATGGCAACTCTGTAACCCTGGTGTTACAGCCTAGCTTCCGCTGTAACGCCGTCCTTGTTGACACTCGATGGCGGTGGGGAGCAGAGATGCTGAATATTTTTTACCCTATCATCTCTCCACAATCAATCTGGTTCTGTGCATAGAGTTTACTATTATTGCACTTTTTTACTATTGGGTCTTGGTTATTTGAATTTTCAATGTACAAATTATCAATATATTTCTTAGCTTAGAGTCCTATGCCAAAAGGCGGTGGCTCGTGGGCCAATCTGGTGATGGTGACCTCCAAATTCAGTATATGTATACTATATCCTGTCATGGGCAGAACCAGCCCGGCATTTAATTTGGTGTACAAATACTCCTATTTGCGTCATGTTCGCTTGAGTATATCAACCTTTTATCCCTGGTGTTTGCGTCGCGGATAATTAAACATCGTCCATGTTGATACTCCGTGGTAGGTGGGGAGCAGCCATTTTGAAGGAATGTTACCCGACTTCGTTCTGGCGCCCTGCTTGTAGAATGTTTGAAGAAACAACAATCTGACAATCTGACAATCTGTTATCCATCAGTCAATTTGCCAATGTTTAGGTTGTTGTTTCCAAACACGGGACATTTAATTTTGGCGATTGTTCGCGATAGGACCCCTTCCTTGTCTGACATGTCCGAATAAGAACTTGCAGCAGAGTTAAAGAATATGTTAAAAACTGACAAAGGCATGTCATTAGTGAAACGTTTCAAGAGAAAAACCGGGATTGAACTATTGAACCAAAATACACTTACTCGATCGGGTTAGCGCGATCTTAGTTACCACAGTATATCAAAGCTAATTATGTCAACATTAGAGTGGAGGTGTATGTCTCAATCCACTCCGATGCTTGATGTCAGAAATTTGGCCATGGCTCCAAAAAACTGTAATCGCTCTATGGTTTGCCACCACTGTGGTGACAAACCATGAAAATCCTGATTGTCAACAAGTATTGTAATGTAATTGTGATGGCCAACATATGGCCAACAGAATAAAACATTCCTAAACTAAAGTATGAAAAGAACATTACCTAATCTCTCAATCAGCAATTCCATCAATACTTAATTATAACCCACATGGTAGTTCGAAAAGGGGTTTCATAACAAAGAGTATGTGTTATAACACCTTCGAGTGATTT